GCAGCAGTTCCTGCTGCTGCAGTGGCCTCTGCTCTTGTTGCTGCCTTACTTGCTGCTGCGGTTGTTGCTGCAGCGGCAGCTGCTGGTGCTGCGACTGTTGTTGCTGCATTGGCTGCTGTTGCAATGGCTGCTGCAGGGGCTGCTGCTGCGATAGCTGTTGCTGCTGCAATGACTGCTGCTGCGGTGATTCCCCCTGCTGCTGTGGCCGCTGCTGCTGCGACTGCTCCTGAAGAGGTAATTGCTGCTGCTGCGGTGGTTCTTGCTTCAGCGGCTGCCGCTGCATCGACTGACCCGCTAGCAGTTGCTGCTGCTGTGGCTGCTCAGCCTCCTCCAGCTTGACCGCTTGTTCCTGTTCTTGCTGCATTTCCTCTTTCTGCTGTTGTTGCACATCTTGCTGCCATTGGTGTGCCTCATGCTGCTTCTTCTGCAATTCCTGCTCAAGGACCTGCACCCTATCGAGTGTCTGCTGCAGCTGAAGCGGCAGCTGCTGTTTCGCACGTTTGTGCTGCTGTTCTAGCAGCAGCAAAGCTTGCTGCTGCAGCTGTTTCAACTGCTGCAAGGAGGCTTCCTGCTGCTGTTGCTGCTCATGGTGTTGTTCTCTCAGCAGTTGCTGCTGCTGGCAAGACAGCGCCAGCAGCAGCAAACAAAACCCCGTGGCTAAACTCATGCTAGCAGCGCACGTGAGCCTCTTCCCTGAAGCAGCAGCATCACGGGAAGCAGACAGTGAAGTGCGGACACAAATTAGAGAGGTGCTGCCATAAAATGAACAGTCCTAGCACCTTGCAGCTGCAGTGGTGGGAAGAAGCTGCAAAAAATGGGAGTCCACGCAGCAACAGCATGCGGCAGCCGCTAGCAGCAGCACAAAAGCAATTGTAGCAGCCGCTGTAACGTAAGAAGCAGCACGAACAACCAACAAGATCAGCAGCAGCAACAGCAGCATGACGTACCTGCGCATAGCCTGTCTGCAGCAAATCCCGCAATGACGGCACCAAGCATGCCACCAACGTCAAAGGGAATAGATGCAGCAGCAGCAGCAGCAGCAGACATCTGGACCTGCTTGGCAAGGAAGAAAGGCAGCCACAGCAGCAAGCTGTAGCGAATCAACTTAATGAAGAAATAGGCAGCACCACACAGACAGATAAGATAGCCAGCGCCTTTGTAGCCCACGTTGGCTTCGTCGCGTTTCTTGCTGCTGCTACCGCGACGCAAGCTGCAGCTGCTGCCGTTGCTTTTGAGAGTGATGCAACTGCTGCTGCTGCGCAGATCCGGCAGTCGACGTGGCTGGCTCTTGCTGCTGCTGAGGGATGAGACCGAGAACAGCTGCAGCAGCTGGCGCATCTGATGCGCAGCTGCTGCTGCTGCTTCGCTTCCGCGGGAAACACGGCGCTCCCAAGGAATTGGTACTACTTCAGCTTCAGCTGCTGCCGGTCCACATCTTGGTGCTGCTTCTGCTCGGAGAGACGGAAGCAAGATGCTCCTGCTGCGGCTCATTGCTGCCGCCGTTGGTTGTCCAGCAGCAACTCCAGCAGCCCAAGGTGCTGCCACTGACGAACTGAAGGTCATTACCGCTGGGGAATGGTAGCTATTAAAAGGGCTGCTTGTGAGACTGCCACTTGGACTGTTGCTGCTGCAGTAACTGTTGCTACTACTGCTGCTGCTGCTGCATGCATCTGCACAACTTGCCAGCTCAGCGCATCGAGCAGTGCTGGTTGTGCTGCCACTACTATCGCCGGTTCCTCCTGTTTGGCTGCATGCACTTTCTTGAGGCTGGAAGCTGACGAGGCATTCGGGTGAGTGTAGGTGCTGCTGGAGCAGCAGTAACTTATGCTTCTGCTGCTGATGCAAGCGCAGATGCCGCAAGTCCCCCTGCTGTTCGTCCTGGTAGTCTTCCTGCTCCTGTTGGGAACCTGAGCTCTCCTTCGCTGCCGCCAAATCCTCGAGGCCTTGCTCATCTTCTCGCTGCTGCTGCAATTGCCGTCGCATAGCTTTCTTGCTGCTCCATGGCAGAAGATACAGCAGCAACACCGACGTAACTGCTGCTGTTGCAGCAGCAAAAAAGAAGACTTGCCTCCATCCAAATGCTGCTTCGACTACTGCAGCAACGGCGGTCGCCGCCATAGCTCCTGCAGCAGCAACGCCCATAAACAAGACCACCAACTCTAAGAGCAAGTGAATGCCCCCACACTCGCACTCGCACCAGCAGCACGGGGCACAATATTAGCACAAAGATGCAGCACCAGCAAGAGCAGCAGAAGCAACTGCCATACCTGTTTGCTGGGAAGTGGTCCACAAACCAAGAGCAGCCCCTCTGTTCTCCGGGGTAACAGCAGCAGAGACGTACTGCAGGAGCAGCGGGAAAAGGGGAGCGTGAACAAGCCCATTGAATCCCCATAGCAGCAACAACAGAAGTCCGCTACTGCTGCAACCAAAAGCTGCTGTCGCTGCTGCAGACAGCATGAAGCATGCCGCCGTTAGAGCGGCAAACTTCCTGTGCGGCACTGCAGCAAGCAGCAGCGGCAGCAGCAGCTGCCCTGCTGCGTAACATCCTAGAAAAGCGGTGTCAATGCAACCTAATGTCTGCGACGAGAGACCAACCGAAGCATTGAGAGCCCCCTTGACCACACTAAAGGGCTTTCGAGTGCTGTAAAGAGATGCGTAGGCCAAGTAGGTGACAACAAACACGGACAGGCCGTCAGCAGGTACAGGCAACCAACGCAGCAAACAACACCCGTTCTGCTGCTGCTTTTTCAGGGTCAACTGCTGCAGGGATTGCTGCTGCTGCAGTGGGCTGGACTTGCCTGAGGAAACCCCAGCTAGTAGCTGCTGCTTTTCGTGTCGCAACCGCTGCCGACGATCGGATGGCCACAGAGTCTCCGTTGCTTCAGAGTCTGTGCTCTGCTGCTGCTGGTGATCCTGCTGCAGCTCATTACCACAAAATCGATTTATAAGCTTGCTGCTGTTGCAAGCTTCAAGCGAAAATGCGGCCTCCCCGCTGAATTTGCTGACAAAGCTGTCATTGCTGCTACTACGGACGCTGCTGCAGCTGCTGCTGCAGCTGCTTCTGCTATAGCTGCTGCCGTTGCGAATAACACGGCGTCTATTCACCCTTCCTCTGCAGCAAAAGCATACCCAGCAAGATACAGATTTTGGCTCGTCAAAGCTTAGGCAACTGGCTAACACTATGCTCCTGTTGCTACTGCTGCTGCTGCTGTACTTACCGCTGACGCTGTGGAAGGGAGCGGCTCGTTGCTTCGCCAAGCGGAATCATCTCAGCACTAGAAAGCAGCTGCAACGAGAGGCGCCAGAGCGCCTAGGAAACAGCTGCTGGTGCTGCTGCTACTCCCACCGAACACCGTTGCATGAGGGAGCGCCACTGTGTCTCAGATTTGCATGTCAGCATTCTGCTGCAGGGACAAGCCGGATTGTCAGCCTCCTAGCTTTTTCCTCAACTGTTCAAGCTTTCATTTTTCCTGTTGCTGGGGCATCGGCCATTGCAGTCGCTGCCGCTGACCTGGCGGCGCCAGGAAGTGCTGCTGATTTCTGCCGCTGATGTTCGTTAAGAGTTAACGAATGAAACCGCGTCCTTCACATATATCGTTACGCTGTTTTCGCCAATCCGGTTTTGCCAAAAGCTTGAGCAACAGCCAAATAGCATCAGTCACAAGCGCCACCAGAAGCCTCTGCTGCTGCTCTTGGTGCATGCAACAACAGCCGCTACAGCTCCAACAGTAGAACCATTTACCAGTGCATTTCGGCATTACAGGCACCTAGTTTAAGTATTCATGATTGGGGAGGCAGTGAGCTTGCTCCCAGCCAAGGCAGAGCGCGCTGGCGGTAACAGCCGCGGAGGCAGCCGCTTGGACCTTAGAGGGGAACTGAAACTGAACGTAGTGTACTCAAAAGTAAATCGCGAACTGAAAATCCTTGTAGTAAACTCGTGATGTGTTGTTCTGAGCTTGGCAGCCGCTGCAACTATTGTTGACACCGCGCGATCCCGTCGCTGAAGCAGCCGAAGTTACTACCAAGGCTGTCATTGTGCTAAAGTAATCACCGAAGTAACTGCCGTAGCAACTACAATTGCTCCTACCGTTACTGCCACGGTCTCGCTGTGGCTAGCACTGACGCCACTGTTAACTGAACCACTAAGGCTGCAGCTGGTTCTAAAGCAGTAACTTTTTACATTGCTGCTTCTGTGGTCGCCTCGCCATGTCTTCCTTCGCCGCCGCAGACATACTCATGTACTAAACCAGACTTTGAGGTCCTTCAGTAAGTCTTCTATTGGCTAGAGTTCGTCGAGCCACCCCAGGTGCAGGTGCAAACCTGCAAACCCTCTAAGCTATCTGAAGCCCTGGGTGCACTAAGGGAGAGGGGAAGAGGGCAACTGCTGAAAAGGCTACCGATTAGCAAGTACTAACTGGCATCTCCGACTTCGATAAATAACGAAAATAACGAAAACGCTTGGCAACGCCTGCATGAAACCCCCACACGCTACCACTGCTACGTCTGCTGCCGATGATACAGTTCTCCCACGCCTGTTCAGAAGCTTCTTTCCGCCCCTGCTTTCACCGTCTCTGCGGCCAATTCAAAACTTATATTTCGATAACACAGTTACAGTACTGAGCTGCAGCCAAAAGTTTGAAATTGTTGCAACAGGCCTTCCTTGTACTGAAAAAGAAGCGACCATCGATTTGGTTTCAACGCTTCAAAGTGGGAATTGGGACAAACAGTAAGTCAAAAAAATCAAAAGATCATTAAAAAAATCAACCAACAAAGGGACGCCATAATCATACACCTGCGCGATTCCGGGACTCCACGAATAGCAATTCTGCACGCGGTAACCGCGGTATCAAAAACTGCCGCTGCAATTTGCCGGCAAGAGAATCCCTTTGCCGCTGCTGCTGGTGTAGCCGGAGTACTACCACGTCAGTCACAAGGGATGCCAAAATCTTTGTTAATGCAGCCAAAAACACTGCTGTCATTGCTGCCCCAGTCTGCTGCAGCTAGCGTAGCTGGCGGTACAGCTGCTGGCGCCGGGCCTGTTCATATTGCTCAGCCAGCGCCGTGGGAATAGCCGCGCCCGGCCTCAACTCCGCCTGCAACATCAGCTGAAACTATGTCATCAAAGTTAACACCATCAATAACAAAAGAAGTACAAAATACAAATGCAACCGACGAACACTACACCGTCGATGCTACCGTAGCGGACTAACCTTGACCACGTCGTTCTCCCTGATGTCATAGTCCAGCGGGCATTTGCTCAAATTTATTTGCACGGTATACTGTTCCCGCTGCAACACAAAAAGGGGTAAGAACAATAAAGCTGCAGACGACGCAATGTGCCGGCCATGCGCTACTATACAAGCCGTTCTCCTCGCTACATCCCGACACCAGCAGCAACTGCAACGTATCCAGCATGGGCACTGCTCGCACTAGGCAACGTACTGAATAGAAGAGCAGTAAGTCTCCCTCATCGACGCCTACATTCCTGCTATAGCTCTCAGATAGACGGCTGTACAAACATGGACCACAGAAGGGAGCACCAGAAGAGGTAGGGTATCTTGGGGGGTAAGCTGGCTAGTTTCTTAAACTTTTTGAGCCGCTGGGCCACAAACACCGCCCACAGCTATACGTCCATACAAATGCGCCTATACATAAGTGGCTCAGGACTTACGAGAAGGGCGTCATCATGCTTGCATTAAAACGAAGACGCGGAAGATATGGTGCTTCCTCAGAGCCTTCAAATCACAAACAGTCAGCCTTCAACCCTCAAGCGTGACCCCTTAACATCCGTGTCCGAGATTTAAAATATAAACCGTGAATAATCCCTCCATTACAATCTCTGGCCCTACAAGTTATGGCCACTCAACGCGTTGCCAAAAAGCCCTGGCCTCACCTACCTTCAATAAAAAGCGATATCCAAACCTTCTGGGCATACTGTAGAGATGGCCTGGACTCAGCATAGAGCTGCAGCTGACCCCGCTGCATACCATAATCCAAGGGACTCAAATCCGGCAAGAGCTGAGAGAGCATACACGAACTCTCTAATAACAAATTACTGAGCTCCATACCTCTTAACAGCCAAATGCACGCTATTACTGGCCCATTCTGATAACTTCGACCCGGCTGCGAGCAGTGCAAACACCGTTTTCTATTTGCTAAGAACCCTAAGGACGCCTCGGCGCTAGGTGAACCCATAGCTCATATAAATGGACAATGAGCCTGCGGACAACGCACTTACTCTCGTGACGATCTTTCGCTTGACCCACAAAAACTCTACAACGTCGTCACGCAGGCCGGCCTGGTCCTTGTAGTACCTCATCAGCTTCCTGCATGGGAAATGGCACTCTTGAGCCATTCTTTATGTCCTCCTCATTAACCGTTATTCCCACTGAAGAGCAAGCTTGCCTCTTCAGCTACTAGCCTTGACATCGCCAGCACATGCATGTTGGCACGTTACTGTTCAGCCCGCTCTATATCTATGCACTGCGTATCTACTGACCTGAATGGCACAGCTAGTGGCATCCGATAAGTGAGGGGATTTGGTGTAAGGCCGTGTACGTAAACATCGAGCTGAGCCATATGCCCTGCAAAAGCTGCTGCAGCTGCTGCCGCTGCTATGTCTGGAGGTAGACTCCTTCCGTCCAACGAAGGACCAAGTAATCCCCCAACCAATCCTCGATCATCCCACATTCGTATCCCTGCAGGCACATCACCTGCTATTCCCGCGCCAGCAGTGGCAACAGCACTGTGAAAAGCATCACGAGCTGCTGCTGCTGCGGCTTGCCGCTGAGTCTCGCTTGCCGGCGTTCTATAACCGCTTGGGGACGGAGAAGCTTCTTCTGTTGCTGCAGGGCTGCTCGGCTGCTGCTGTTGCTGCCGCCGTTGCTGCTGCTGCTGTTCCGGCTCCTGCTGTTGATGCTGCTGCTGCAACCGCTGCTGCAGCGATGATGGCGTGACCCGGGCACGCCTTTGACCCGTCACTAGAAACTGTTGGTAAAGAAAATGTGGCCTGGCATCCGCCGCTCCCGACGGTTGTTCTGCCTGACGCGCCAGACCAGGCGCTTCCTCCTCCTGCCCCTGTTGCCGCCGTCGCTGCAGATGCTGCTCAGGTTGTGGCTGCTGCTGTGAATTCTGCTCCTGCTGATCTGGCGCTGTCGCTGCCTCCCTTGGCAGGGCAGGGGCGCTCGGCTGCAGCTGCTGCTGGAGTTGCTCTTGCAAGTGCTGCTGTAGCAGCTGCTGGAGCTGAATATGTTGCTGGGCGAATTCAGCCTGTTGCTGCTCATCATGAAACGGGTTTTGCTGATGTGGCTCGTGATTCATCATATGGTGCGCCTCCAAAACTTCCAATAGCAACAGTGTTTGCAGCGCTGCAGGGAAATACACGAATTGCAGCACCGCAGTCTACGCATGTGTAACGCAAACCCAAAAACATACAGTAAAATGACGCTAAATAAACACCCTGACGCGCCAACGGCGATACAACAAAAAAGAGGGCAGACAACTAAATAGCCACCTCACCATGAGAACCTCCGACTTCACTTATCCGCCTGAGGAGTGGTAGCAGAAAATTTGTTGCCGTGGCGCCTGCAGCGGCTGCGGCAGCTGCCGCCAAGGGTGAACCTGCCGCAGCTGTATCGGGCGCATACAGGGACGCTAGCCTGGGAAGTAAGAGAGAGGCGCGCAAACGGTCCATAAACATGTGGTGCGGCACCGGCACCTCTGCTTGTTGTACACCGCGCTGTTGTATTTGTTGCTGAGCCACCGGCATCTGTTCATGCACCAACGGCGAGGCCTGCGGCTGCGCGTCCGTTGGCTCTTGCTGCTGCTGCTGCTGCTCCTGCCGAGAATGCTGACGCTGCTGCATTTCGCTGTGTGAAGCAACGACAGGCAACGGCAGTACTTCCTGCTGTCGCTGCAACCCTGGCTCGCGCGCTGACATGACACTACTCCTAACTGACTCTTGCTGTTGCTGCTGCGGCTGAGGTGGTTGCTCCTGCTGCAAAAGGTACTGCAGCTGCTGAAGTTGCCGCTGCTGTGCTGGGTTTATCTGCTGCTGAGGCTGCGCCGGGATTTGTGTCCAGCTTCCCAGCTGGTGAGGAGTGCTGCCCTGGCCTACCTGCTCCTGCTGCTGCCGGTAACCCTGGTGCTGGTGATACTGTTGCTGGTGCTGCCACTGAAGGTGCTGCTGCCGTGCTAGATGCTCTTGTTGCCACGGTTGTTGTTGGTGCTCGATATGACTGGGTTGTCCTTGCTGGCGTCGACTCTCCCCAACTTCATGATAGTCGTGCTGCCGTTGCACGACCGGCTGCTGCTGCTGTTGCTGCTGCTCGTGCTGTTGTTGCTGGTGTCCCCGTTGTTGCCCCTGTTGCTGTCGCTCGTTCTGCTCCCTCCGCAAATGTTGCTGCAACTGCACGTATCGTTCGCTTTGGGGCAGCTCTTCCTCTTGCCCATGCCTTTGCTGCACGTTAGATAGGCGTTGCAACTGCTCATCGTTCGGAGGAGGCTGCGGGGAATGGTGTTCCCCTCCCGGGTAAGTGGGCGCCGAAGGGGGGCTCGGCTGCTGCTCTTCACTCAATATAACCACTTCTGGCTTTCTCCCTGCATCAGCAAAAGCAAGAAAGATGCACGCGAAGAGGCCAGCAATTCGACACAATGCGGCTGGTGTCTGTTACAGCAGCATGGACACTAACCAGGCAAATTCCAGAGACCGCTAAACACACGTTGTAGAAAGCAGCGGCAAGAACAGATATGCCGAGAAAATAGAACAAATGATGTTGTCTCGAGCAAGATATTAGCCACAGCGAGGAGAACTACAAAGACGCAAAAGCGTGAAGACACAGGCATAAACACAGGAATAAGGCATACGAAAAAAGAAAGCAATACACCAAAGCATTAAAGTATAAAAATACAAAACATTCCATAATACAGACGAAGAGAATTGTGAAGGGAAAAGGTGGCATAATGGGAACCATGTAAACCGATGCCGACACGTGAAGACATACAAGCTGAGGCAACACCAAAAACGAGGGTATGCAGATAATGAAAGCAGGAACCAATACAGATAGCACACAAAACACACTGGTGCGGACCATATCCCAAGATAAAGTGGAGCAAACAAGGAATGGCCAGACGGCAACAGGAAACGGAGGCAAAAATCATGGGAACACGCGAAAAAGCCAAATAACACGATGAAACAATTACAAACCCCAGTAAAAGCACACGAGGAACTGCGGAAGGATAAAATCAAGAGGGGGAGCAAGCGCGTTCGCAGAGGAGTAAAAGGGATCGGAAAAACAAGGAGAAAATTGACGCGACAGAGCCCGCCGGCAAAATGATGCGGAAGTGAGGGCATCGCAAAAAGGATAAGTATACGCCCGCAAGGTCGCGCGAAGTGTGGAGAAACTCAATAACCAGCCAACAGAATGAAAGGAGGAGAAGAACGCTGAAGTCTGACAGCCATGCTGCACCGTGTTCGATGCTGGTCTCACCAAAGGCTCTCGACACTGACTTGGCCAAATTCGAATAAGCAGCGATCGAAAACGTAAATTTCCGCGCCTCTTCGCTCACTGCCGCTACAAACTGAATAGCCTACAGACGCAACAGCAGTAGCACTAACAGCAGCTGTCACAACAAGCACTACAATAGATGAATTGCCAACAGCTTACTGCTACAATAGTAACGAGCACAATTGGCTTCCCAGTCGGGTTCAATGCGAGCCTCACTAGTGGCGACACGGAACCTGGTACGGTGATTAGGCTGCAGTCAATCTCTCTGGCCAGTTGCAGTAGTGGAAGGTAGCTTGCTAGGCGTGGCAGCTCCAGATCCTCCTCCCGTAACCGCAAAATACTCGTGTAGCGATGCAAAACCGCCGCACTGCAGTGCGCCCGGCAGACCTGAAGAAGACAGACGGAAAAGAATGGGTTCAAAAAGCTACAGATGGACGTGTAACCAGTGGTGCATGTGAACGACTTCGACAGAGAATAGCTTTGAAAGAACAAACAATATGAGGCCTCCATGGAGGATGGCCAAGATTTTGAGGGCCCACGATGTTACGTCCCCCAATCAGTTTATACAAAGAACCCAACTTGCTGACAGCAAGCACCCGCCACAGCCCCCACACGGGGCACGTACGCATACCCGCACGGAAGCACACAAGACAAACTGACACTAAAAGTGAGCAGCACACATGAAGCGAAAAAACGCATTCCTGCGACTGCTGCTGCTGCGACGCTGCACCTGCTGCGTGCTTACCTGTCTAAAAACGAAGAAGTCTGGCAGCGTCAAGAAGCAACAAATTTCTCCCAATAGAGCCGCAGACAAACCTAATCGCTTAGATCCCTGTTGCTGCTGCTCCTGCTGCCTCCCCGTCAAGTGTTGCTGTCCGCTGGGCGCTTCTGAACCCAAGCAGTTTAGCATGGCCTCTCGTGTATCTGTGAAGGTTAAGAGTGGTTTCTGTCGCAGCAGTGGGACATGAACATATCTCCTGCATAGGGGAATGACCACAGTGTGCTGCTGCTGTTGCACCAGCCGATGCTGCTCTCCTTGTTCCTGCTGCTGCACTGGAAAAGACGAGAGACCGCACTCACGCTTGCTGCCACCACAAGCATGCGGCCACGGTAGATGATGCTGTTGCTCACGTTGCGATTGCCCCTGCTGGCGCATGTCCCCTTCTTTCTTTTCCTGCACCTCGTCTTGAAGGACCTGCCCGCCCTCCCTGTTGCGGTGTGTCTTTGGTCTGCTGCCACTGCATAATCCGTTGCCTGTCGTGGAGGCTGGAGACGGCGGGGTTTCTCGAGAGTTTGTTGTGGCTGTATTAGTGCCGTTGTTATTGCTGCTGCCGCTGCTGCTGCTGAGCTCCGCTGCCGCAGCAAGTACTGCAGCAGCAAGCCGCTTCCGCGCTGCCAGTGCTGCTGGAGGGAATGCCAGCGGCGACGGAGGCTCAGGAGTTGACAGACACTTCGACTGGGGAGGAGGCGGAGCTGTCCTGTGAGTTTTCCTGGTCCCCCCTGCCGGTGCACTACCCAGTGGAGAATCCTGGTCCTCTGGGCTGCCTCGACCCTGTCCTGCAGCTGCCGTGGCCACCACTGCCGTTGTCATCCTAGTTTGTTGGTGCTGCGCCCGGGGCCGCAATGGCAGCACTAAAGACGACGGGAGACATCCCTGCGCTGGCGCCGCTGCTTTTGCGGTTGCCCTCCCCTTGGGTGAGGGACCGCCGGGTTCCATCGTAATGGAGAAGGGGCTAGTATCACTGTCGCTGCATGCTGTGCAGCTGCTACTGCTGCTCCATATGCTCGGGCTCATCTCGTTTTGCTGCTCCGCGCTGCTGTTGCTGCTGTGGCTGCTGCACCTATGGCTACTCGTGCGCCTGCGACGACCCCTGCCGCCTGCTTCTTGTCGCGGCCATCGTTGCATCCTTCGCGGGTGCGTGCGGGGAAGAGACGGTTCATGGAGGTGCTGCTGTTGCTGCTGCTGTTCTACGGGAGGGTAACTGCTACGGTCAGACATATCAAGAAGCAGGGGAGAAGAAACCAACTCCTTGACCATCTGCTGCTGCTCCTGCATGTGGTGCAGCAGGTGCTGTAACACTCGTTGCAGCTTTTGCTGCTGCTCTTCGCAGTCCTCTTGGTCGTCAGCCGAAGCAATAGGCAATATCTGGGTCCCGTTTGAGTCAAGAGGTTGTTGCTGGCATTGCTGCTGTGGTGGGTTCAGTTGTTGCTGCCGAGAAAGTAACGACAGCGAAGTGACAGGCAGCAATTTGAAAGACTCCATGCAGAAAACGTTGATACGCTGCTGCTGGAGAAGTGCAGCAGCAGCAGCGAACCCCGACTGGACATCCCCAAAAATATCCAAAGGCGGTGCACGCCGCCTCCCTGCTCCGCCAATGGAACCGAGAGCGGCAGGAGCTCCATCGGGATCCTCAGAAGCATCAACGGGAGGCGCAGCAGCAGCCGCCAGCGCAGCAGCTGTAAGCACGGGACGGAAGATCGCGACGCCTGGGATGCCTGCCGTGATCATCCCTTCTACTGCTGATTCTGCAGACCCATTAGGAACAAACGGACGTCCCCCTGCAGCTGCTGCGGCTGCAATAGCCGCTGCTGCTGCAGCCCCTGCACCACGGCCTCTAATCCCCAAAGCATCTGCCGTGGCTTGCATCAGCCTCTGTTGCTGCCGTAGCTGCAACTGTAACTCTGCAGGAAGCAAGATGTTAGTTGGCGCATACACACAAACGCATGACCCCCAAAACTCGCTCTGCATGTACTGGTGTAGCAGCTGTTGCTGCTGCTGCCTCAAGACAAGTGCAATAGCCTCGTGCAGTGTTCTCGGCTCCTCTTGATCCAACATGTGGTTGTGGTGCTGTACCAGTTGTTGTTGTTGCACCACGGCCTGTAAAAAACGCCTGCGTTGCTGCTCTCCCCGAGCACCAAGCCCTTGCTGCTGGTGGAATTCCTCATGCTGGTGGCGCTGGTAGAGTTCACGACGGCGCTGCTGCGGCTGAACCTCATGGACTGGCTGCAGCTGCCCTTGGGACATCTGAACATGCTGTTGCCGGTGCTGCTGTTGCTGCAGACGCAGTAACACAGCCAAGCGCTTCTGCACCCGCGACCCTTCAGTCTCTCGTGTAAAGTGAATTTGGACGCTTACAGGGAATGGCGGGCCGAAGCCAACCAACACCTTGACGCCACTGCTACAGCCAGCCCTACTGTTGCTCAAGTTAAGGGCACTACTGGCATCTGTATCGTTGCAGCAGCTCTCGATGTTGCTGCAGACACCCTCGCAGTAGCTTCCGCTGATGCCGCTGACGCAACGGTAGATGCAGCCGCAAGGGTTGAAGCAGGTAGCGTTATTGCCAGCACCACTTGACACCATCCCCCCACGTGGGTTGGAGTTACCGCGGCTACTGCTAGTATTCGCCAAGCTGTTGCTACTAATGCAACGGCCACGTAATGAAAACAAAACAGCGTGTCTGTTGGGAATAATAAAGTTCCTGCTGCGAGCTGCAGTGTCCCCCGCGACCTGCGTTGGTTCGCCTGCATCGCCCAGGCGCTGCGACGTTGCTCGCTGCGACAGCCCACGGCCTGGTGCTGCGCTGGCAACTGGATGTGCCGCGGCAACTCCAGCATCTGCAAACACCGCAGCAGCAGCAGCGTCGAGCTCTGACGACCCCACATCCGCTGCCGCTGCTGCTGCAACTCTTGCTGCTGCGCTGCCGTTGCTGCTGTTGTCCCTCCTGCAACTGCTACTGGCGCCCAAAGCCCCTGGGATCCCGGGCAGGTTGTCACTCTTCGTGACACACAGCAGCCCTTCCAGGGGTCCCCCCCTTGCACCCAGCTGCGGCGCAGCAACTGCAACCGTGGTCACTACTACTACTGCTCTCGGGGATAACCCGGAGCCACATCAAACTGCAGCCATCACAATGCATCCGCGAAGGACGCCCGACAAAGTCCCTATCTGTCATCACTGCTGCCGCAGCAGCAGCTGTGGCTGCCGTCCCTATGTCAGCAGCCAGCAAGGTCTCCTCGTCCCCCGAAGGTGTGTCCGATTCTTGATGCCGTCGCCGCTGTTGGCGTTGATTCTGCTGCTCTGATTGCTGCTGGGACAGCCGCTGCTGTTGCTGCTGTGGCTGCAGCTCTTGGTGCGATTGTTGCTGCTCCCGCCGTCGCTCTGCCGGCTGTAAATGTAGTTGCTGCTGCAACTGCTGCTGCGGCAGCAGTTGGTTACCTAGCTGCTGCAACCTTTGCTGCGGCTGTTGCTGCTGTTGTTCCTGCAGCTGCCGCTGATGTTGCTGCTGCAGCGGCTGGCGTTGATCCCCCTGCCCCTGGTGTTGTGGCTCTTCCTGCTGTTGCGTCCGTTGCGCCTGATGCCCCTGCTGATGTTGGCGTTGTCGTTGTTGCTGTAGCTCTTGGCGATCCTGCTCTTGCTGTTGCTGCTGCCTCTGCCGCCGCTGCGAACGCTGCTGCTGCAAGAAGCGCCGCAGCCTAAAAAAGCGACGCAGAGGGGGCTCATTGGACTGCAGCACAATCTGTTTCGAGCGCAGCCCGGCAGCAGCAACTGCCGCAAGCGAGTTCGCTGCTGCTCCTGCCGCTGCCTTCAGCAGCAGATGCCTCTGAGCCATCAGACTAACAACCAAGAGTCCCCTCACCGAGAAAGTGGGATAACTTTTCTCCCACGCACCAAGGGATATCAAGTTTCTGATACTGCTGCTCTCGACCGCTGCTGTGCCTGGGCCCAAAACTCGCCAACCGTTGCTGTTCCTCCTGCATAAACAGCAGCTGCCGCACCTGCACACACCACGTCCCGCCGCCGCTGTCCCGCGGCTTCGCGGCTGGACACCGGGTAGCAAGACAGGCGCCTTATCCGCAGAATCTTCATCAATCAATGCGCTCCCCGCTGCTCCTCCAGCTGCTGCGATTTCCACAGCCTCCACCAGCAGGGGTGAAGCCAAACAAATAGCCTGACCGTGGGCAACCACCACGGCTTGTCTGCGCAAATCCACATCCGCAGCAACAATGGTCGCCAAGATGATGACACCTTCGGTAGTGACACTACTGCGCAAAAGCCTTGCAACTGGCGCTCTGACTAGTAATTAAGACACCGCGGCAATCGGCGACCCAGACGCATCATGCTAGTGCGATAAGTCATACTAACGCACAAGAAAAGGCCAAAGCGCGTCACGGGTGAACCCGCGCACACAAAAATGAGAACATACTTCGATGTATCATCATGCTGACAAGGGTACTTCAGCCGGCGAGGCAAAAGGACCAGCATCAACGGCTCGAGAGACGGTTCGTTCGGTGAGGAGAGCTGCAGCGGAACAACACGACACCCACATGCCCACAAGCACAGACTGCTGCTCTTGTGTTCCTGCTGGCCCCGATGCTACCCTGCCGTTCCACCACATGTCATGCTACCGCTATACCCTTTGCTGCTGCCGAACTGTGGCCACCGCCATGCAGCATTCTGCAGTTGCCACTGCAGCTACTCACCAAGCTGCCGCAGCGCCAACACATAGAGCGGTTGCGGAGCTAGCTACAGCTACTGTCGCATCTGCTGCTTCTGCCTTTGTCCCTGCTCGCCAAGATGCCGCAGCATTTCTAATAGGCACAGTTAAGACCCTAGCTACTGCTCCCCTTCCTCCTCTGCCATTTTCATTCCACTATGCTACTCTACCAACTACCACATGCTACCCGCATGCCCTTGCCAGTCCTGACGCTTCACCTGCTGCTGCGCTCCGTTCCCGCCTGCGATGCTGCTCTAGTGGTTGTGCACATAAAAATCCCAGCTACACTACGAGCGCTACAGCTGCTTCCCACCGAGCTGCCTAAGCAATCCTACAGCTTTTGTACAAAGCACAGTGAAGCCCCTGTTGACGTTTCGTGGCGCGCACCTCTCGTCAACAAGACAACTGCCGCTGCTATCCGCCCATTGCGGCCAGTATAAAAAATAGCTCTGCTATACTCGCCACTACCACTGTTTGATAAAAAAGCTGAGACAACGTCTCCGTATGACGCAACTAGCACCCTGCTACTGCCGATGCCGACGTGAAAGTTGCAGTTGCTTACCAAGTGCGCGACGTCTTGCAAAGACATCCAATCCGATGGAGCGGACAGTGGCAGAGAGTGGTAATGCACGTAAGACACGCGCGACAGCATTAGGGGTAACGTAAGCTTGCTGTTGTTGAAGGCTTTTCCCCCAGTCCCACCACCTAGTTCTGCTGCGGCCAATCTCGCTGCTGTGGCGCAGCAACGCAACACCGCACCCTCCGACGCCGCTGACAATGCTGCAGTTCTTGCAGCTTCCGTAAGACCTGCGATTTCTGCCTGTGCTGCTGCCGTTGCAGCCGCTGCTGCCGCTGACTCCGGCATGAACCACGATCCGTTCCAGCCACCGAACTGAGTGGCAGCAGCGGCAGCTGCTGCTGTTGCTGCTGCAGCCATATCTGATGCATTGCGCGGCGGCTTCACCGCCGCAGCTGCTGGAGCACTGGAGGTGCTGCAGCTGCTACTGCTGTTGGGGGCAGCCTCAGTACTGCCCTCCTCGCGGCCATTCAGAGGGCCTGTCGCCAGGGCATCCCTAGGGCAAATGCCAGCCGTCTTTTCAGTGGCAGTAACGGCAGCTGCAACAGCGGCGGCGACTATCGCGTGTGCTGCTTCCCATTCCTCTAGTCTCCTCTGGCCAATGGCTCCCAAGGCGCAGAGCCCAGCTTCCTCAAACAAATCTGCAAGTGCCAATTTCGCCGCAAACTGTGGTAGGCCCAATAGCAGTAACAGCTGCAGAAGCTGCTGCACAGCAAAGGAATGCAGCATGCGGTACTCGCGGCAGCGGCGCAGCTGCTGCTGACGCTGGTCTACAGCTGCTGCTGCCGCTGCTGCCTCTTTCACAGGCGACAGAACAGCCACTGGGCTGTCCAACAGCAGTATATGTGGAAGGAAGCTGTCGCGCTGCTCTTGCATGCGCTCCTGCGCATGAAGACGTTGCCTCCGCCCGTGTTGCAGCCGAAGGATCCTCTCGTGGATCTGCCTGAGCAGCTCGTGCTGCTCGTACAGCAGCACATCTTCCTGTCGCCATTGCAGCAGTACCCGAATATCGGATCCGGTCATCAACAAACTGCTGTTGCTCTTTAGTCGCAACAAATTGAGCTGAAGGCGCTTCTCAGATGCGGCTGCCGCCGCAGCTGCTGCGGCCTCCACACATGCAGTTGCAGCGGATGTCAAACTGTTGACCGAGATCCGGCGACAGCCCCCGGCAAGCGAAGATCTATGTACTGCAACTGATGCCGTCTCAAATTCTACCGGTGCAGCTACTGTCTGTGTTGCTCCATCAGACCCACTGGGTCCGGCATCCACTGTGCACGTTCCCCCTTCTGCTCCCTGCACTGTTGCTCCCGCCGACCTGCTAAAGGCGCGTCCCGAGCCGTCCGTTAGATCGCCCAAAAGGTTGCCATGGCTACGGTCGCGGCCGCTGCCGCTACCAAGACCGCAGCAGCAGCCGCCGTTGCTGCCACAGTTGTGGCTGTTGCCCCCCCTGCCGCTGCCACTGCTGTTGCCGCTGCCGCCGCCACTGCCGCTGCCTCCACCGTTCTTGTGGCTGCAGCTAGGGCTATGGGTAGGGCCCCTTGCTCCCGAAGTCGAGTCTGCCGATCCCGAGGCCGTCCCCACCTCGTGGAACCCCTTTTGGCCCCCCGCTGATGCTGCCGCCGCATCGCAGTCAAAAGATGCAGCAGCAGCGCGCAGTCGCACTCCAAGGGTTGTGCAGGCGATACCTCCCGAAGCCAGTGACCTGCTTATCTCAAGGGTGCTGCTTGCTGCCGCTGCTGCTTGCAGTGGGTCGCTTTCCACGGATGAATGTGCAGCCGCTGCAATCACCGTGTGGGCCTGCTGCACTGCTCGTGCCGCAAGTCGCATACATAGCTCCGCAAACTGCTGTTGCTGTTGCCGGACGCTTTCATCCACCAAGAAGTGTCGAAGCCGTTCCACCTCGGAAGGCATTCGGGGGGTGTTTGACGGCGTCGCCCTTGTGGACCCTCCAGGTCGTGATGACGCCGCTTCCGCTGCTGCCGCTGGTGCGCAGCGTTGCGTCGCTTGCGTGGAGCAAGGCGACAGAAAAGGCTGAGATAATCGAGTTCCTCCGGTAGTTGAGTCCCCCTGCTGCCGACCATTTGCCGTAGCCGCGGCAGCAGTTGCAGTTGCAGGAATCCCCGTTGCAACTCTCTCCTCCTCACGTGGCGGTTCTCCTGCAGCACTTCCTGCTTCTCCTGATGCAGCAGATGCTGCGGAACCCCCTATACCTTCCATTGGCTAAAAGGACGGCGCATTGCACCGCCGGCACGGCCCGTCGCAGCAGTTGCTGCTCCTGGCAGTGCCGCAGCAGCTAACGCTGCTGCTTCCGCGGCGTACCTGCGTCTTTCCCACTACAAATTGGCGCACTACACCAATAATAAAGCTCTAAGAATGAGATGGTCTGCCATCATCAGTTGCCGCTGCTTCAGCAGCAGCAACACACAGTGTCGTGGCTCAGCCTCAGTGGCACAGCCGTTGGCGACGTGAACTGTGGCGTTGCAGCTGCCGCGGAAGAACATACGGGGCACAATATAAGCCAAGCAGTTGATATTCAGGAAAAAAACAATCCGTGTGTGGAAGCGGTTGGTGGTTTCTTGCGCATGAGACGACGCTGGTGTTGACCGGTGCCTCGTCTGCACCGGGCTGGAGCAGGAGCTGTTGCTGCTGCTGCTCCAGGGGGGGTGTCTGCAGCAGCGGGAGCTGCTGCTGCTTTCCCCCCACGGCGCCTCATCGCCATGTGCTGATTGAGCGGTGCCTTCCACCCAAAACAAAATTGCCTTTGGTTTTTATGGCTTACATTAAGAACGCTTATCAATAGGAGACAGGTTTCTGTGCCTTACGTGCCGCACAGAGCAAGTGTGCGGTAGGATCAAGTTTTCACCATTACAACTTCCGCATCTCCTCAGCAGTTACTGGCGGCGCGGTACGAGGTCGCAGCAGCGGTTTTGCTGCTTCTTCTTTGTAGGCTTGGCGTTGGAGCGCCTTCCTTCAAGAAGGCGGCCTCATAGCAGGATTGAACACCACGAGGGACGAAGTTGCTACAGCTGCAGCACCGGAGTCACCGTCCGTCTCAAACGAGGGCCTCCCCCTTCATCGGCAGGCAGGATCCGCACGGGCAGCCGGTGCAGGAACAGCAGCAGGGCCCACTTCCTTTGGTTTTTCCACGCGGTTTCGACAATGCAAAACAACTCCCCACCGCAGCTACTGATGCTGCAACAGCAGCACCAACAGCAACACCAACACGAAGAACAGGAGCGGGGGCAGCCGCTAGCTGCTGCTTTTGCCGCAGCTGTAGAGGAGGCTCTGATACAAGAATCTCCTCAAGCAGCAAAGTGGCTGAGGGAGCCACTTGGGCTCAACGGTAAGTCCTGCGGCACCCCACACATCTGCCTACACATTAGCTCGTCTCCAGTGCATCGATTCTTGGGGACTACCGTGCCAGCAAACAACTCTTCCTCCAGCTGATCTATATTATTTCGAGGCACAAAAGGCAGTTTCATTTTCGGGAGCATGTGGTGCTTGTTTGGTAGTGAAGTAGCAGTGCTCGCCAGGTTTGGCGCCCCGCTCCCGGCAAGTGGTTATGGGGCGTCTGAAAGGTGAATGGGAGCTGTAGGTCCGCGCATGTTTCCCGTGGTTTTTGAAACCCACAACAACAGGCGATATGCGTCTGAACAGCTCGCATTGCATAGTCCGTGCAAAATTAGTTTGGCTAGAAGCTACCTACTGGAGCGGCGCAGCGCCAAAACCGCATGCCGCATGGACTGCGGAGGTTTTTCTGCCTTTTTTTCATAGATGAGGGATGCCTGGGAGTGCTACAGCTGGAGGACGGTCGACAATTTGGCGGGATTTCCTTTGGATTTAAAACATCTGTTGCGGGGGAGGTTGTATTCAACACTGGTAAACAGCAGTGTTGCAACGACGTCTTTAACCTCTAGTGGTTGCGCTAAGGATCCTCCCCGGTTCAGCTGCACCTCGTGGTGGCCAGAAAAAGCAGCAATCTTGCGTTTCATACAGCCAATCCTGTCGTTACTGCTGCCGCAGGGATGGTTGCATACCCCGAATCCCTGACAGACCCTTCTTATTCTGGGCAGATTCTCACGCTGACTTATCCTCTTGTCGGCAACTATGGAGTGCCGTCTGGTGAAGTTGTGGGGCGTGCACAGCTCCTGCCAAAGCCATCGTTCCGTTTGCTTCTTTTAGCCGCCTCGCTGCTGTTGCCGTCCGTGTGTGCTGCTGCTCGCCGGATTGATGGGGGGGCGTTTGTTGACTCATTGTATGCATGGAGCAGTTTAAAATGCTTGACAGCTGCCGTAGTTGCTTCTACTGGCGCTGTTTATAGGATTCATTGGGTTTGCCACTGCACTTTGAAGGGCGCCGTATACATGTCATGGCGCTGTTGGCAGCCGATTACGTTCCGGCTGCTCTCTCTCACTGGAAGGCGGAGAAAAGGCTGGGCGAGTGGCTGGAGAGTGAACGAGTACCAGCGCTGTGGGGTGTGGACACCAGAGCGCTTACAATTCACTTAAGAGAAGTCAGTGCCTTTTTGAGATGAATGGGTGAAAGGGTCGGGCGTTGGGGAGCTAGGGTAGGGAGTGGGGGAGTGGGGGAGTGGTGGGCTGATGAACTGTGTCTTGTTTGCCTCTTCTTTTTATTTTGAGTCCTGTTTTCGCTTTATCACGGCTTTTGCAAGCTACAGTAATGCAGTGTGCTCAACATCCGAACTTTTCTTTCAGCACATTGGATGGTCGTGTGTCCAGTTTCTCGTTTAGTGCACTTCTCGTGTGTGCCTAGCTCCCATTTGTTATGGCAGGACGTGCTTCTCTGAATCATCTCTTACTCCCCGCATCGGTGCTGCATTTACGTTTGGTTGCTCCTCGTTTATGTATATGTTGCAGCACCTTCCTGCTTTGAATGTTTGTATAATGCTCTTTGCAGCGTGTTCCTCGCACGAAGGTACGCAGTGTTTCTTGGTTCTTTGTGGTTTTGGCATTTTGAAGGCGTGGCGTGCGCAGGGCGCTTGCCGTTCGCATGCCCCGCTTCCCGGACGCTTGCTCGTTTGTCATACTGCGTGATGCGTGTCACTTGTGGTATTCATCCCCGTGGAACTCATTCATTGCGTGTAGGTGGCGTGACTAGTTTCTGGCTGCATTGCTTTGTCTGTAGCTCTGGCATGCCTGGTTTGCCCGTCTCCTCCTCTTTGTATTTCACTAGCTGCTACATCTCTTTGGATGTGGTATATGACGCTGGAGATGTCGCCTCGTGAAGCGCAGGGCGTGCAGTAGCCACGGCGCTTCCATTGAACGATGAGGCTATCATTGTTGGGTCCATGAGTGTATTGAAGGAGTACTGCGGATGCAACACGAGTAGCAGTGCGGTACATATTATATATGCTGTTTTTCGTGTGCAGTCCGGTTCGATGCTAGGCAAGGTCGTAGTGTTGACGGAATCAGAGGAGCGGACGGTGAAGGAATATCTGAGGTCTGACACTGCGAAGCAGTCAGCGGCAGATCTGTTGGCACGAGTAACTGCGCATCAGGCGGTACAGGCTGTACTGTCGCGTGCCAGCTCACCGGATGCCCTAATGGCACTGCTGCAGCAGCGCGTGGAAAGAGCAGCAAGACTGGAGGCATGGGTCACTGCCCTTGAGGCAGCAAGGGATCGTCTGGAATTCGACGATCCCAACTGCAGAAACCTGGTGGCCGAGGTCTCCTGCAGGCAGCCTCGCGTCTATGTCTCTCCGATGAACCCCTTCGTGAGTGTCATCAAGCGATGGATCTGGATATAGGCGCTTCGGCAGGGCGTCCAGCTGTTGGGTCTGCTGCGGATTTTACCGCTGTCACTGCTTCCTCGATTGTTTGCGTAGGTGCATTGTGCACACTGTGGTGGATCCTAGAGTGACTGTGATTTTAGTGGCCTTGGTGCACTGTAGATAATGCTGGTGTTCCGGGTGTGTTGCTGCTACAGTGCCACCAGGTGAAAGTTCTGGCTGTAGATTGCGGTATGAAGACGAACATCTACAGGCAATTCCTGTACACGGACTTCAAAGGATGCAACGTTGTCCTTAAGGTGTCTGAAGCTACATTTGTCTGCTGATGTCTGTTGCTGATGATACAGCATTCCCTGCTACTGTATGAGGTCGTTGACTACAATGTTAAGCATGTTAAGCGACATCGTACAGTTGCCGTATCTTTTTGACCATCCTTGGTGCTGCCAACGCAGGCAGCCACGGAGTGTCGGGTATGCGTTTACCGCGGATTGCACGCAGGTTGTCCCATGGGACTATGACTTCACCTCGGATGACTACGACGGCCTTTTTATTAGCAACGGCCCGGGAGATCCCTCCCTATGTCGACCGACCATTTATAACATCGCGTAAGATGCACTGTGCCTCTGTATCTTCGCCTTTTGGCCTTTCGCACGTGAGTGTGTTTGCGAGTAAGTGTATCGCCTCACGGTTTCAGTCTCCGTATTGCATGTTCGGCCGCACTTAACTAGTTTTCGCACGTTTTGTTTTCCGTTGCCACCTTATGTGCATGGATTGGTTTGCTTTGCCTCTTATTTTGCCTCTGCTGGTGGTTTCTCGATTTGATGCCATCCCCCATGTGGTTTCTTTGGCTGACGTGTTAATATCTGCTCCGGCGGACGTGCTGAGTTACAGGGATGCTGTTTGTTCGGCCCAGTTGAGCATTCTTGCTTGTTGCTGCTATTACGCCGGTTATTGCTACTTGCTGAGGTTGTTAGCTGGTGTTCTTGCAGGAAGGCTTTGCTCCAGGAGAAGCCTGTGTTCGGCATTTGTCTTGGGAATCAGCTACTGGCCCTGGCTGCAGGGGCGAAGACTTACAAAATGAAGTTTGGGAACAGGGGTGAGTTGCCCTCTGCAGCACTGCAGTCGCTGGTGAAGATGGTGGCACTGGGCGCCACTGGGTGAAGCTAATATCCACTTGTAGTGACTCCTGTTTTCATCTAGTAACTCCCGTTTTCATTTTGATTTCTTCTTGGTCTTTTCCGTTTCGTGGCGCAGTCTATCATCATGACTTCTCGGGTTATCCGTGGTTCGTTGTGGTCGCAAGTCCTACCTAGGCGTTCTAGTCCGGATTGTTTTTTCTGTGCAGGCATGTTCTTTGAGGTTTCTTTGAGTGTCGGTCCACTGTCTTCTTCTTGTATGTGACTCTGTGCTTTCTGTTTTCTTCTGCCACAGGCATGAACCAGCCCGTAGTCGACTTGCGCACGACGCGTTGCTACATGACAGCACAGAATCATGGCTACGCTGTTGATACAGGTAGTGTTAACATTCCTGAGTTTCCCGTGCACAGTGGACACAATTGTACCAATCAGTTTCCTGCGGTTCATTCCGCAGTTATTACAATGCGGGACCTTTTTTACGTCCAAACGGTGGAAGCATTGTGGAGTTGGCTGCGACGTGTTCTTTTTTGTGACTGTTCGCCTGTGCATGAGCGGTTACGGAACTGGTTCCACTGCGTTCTGATTGCGTGTAAGTCTTCGTTTTTGTATGAACAGTCAGGAGTGGAGACTCTACATTGCCTCCATTTCTGGCTCTTCCTGCTGCATGGGACGCATTAAGTGTCTCCGCTTTTTCTTGATGATAATTTCTAGTGGGTGTGCTTGTACGTGTGAACGGATGTATGCGTATATCTTTTGTGTTCCGGCTCGTGAATTTATGTATATTGCTTACTCATATGTGTTGATTCCATTCGTGATTGTCCATTTTGTCGCAGCGACTCTCCCCGAAGATTTCACACCACTATTTGTAAACGCGAACGACAGAAGCAACGAAGGAATTTCTCATCGCTTTATGCCTTACTTCTCTGTTCAGTTTCACCCGGAGGCGTCCGGTAATTTCTGGCGGCCGATTTCTAGACCGCGCAGTAGTGCTTTTTACAGTGTCAGAGTCGTTTATCGAAAGTGCAGGTGTAATTCGTGCGTCAACGTGTCGAATTTTTTTGCTGACACGTCAGTCGTCCAATGCCAGCGCTTGGGAACTAGGTCTTCGTGAAGTCATCGCGTTGTGCTTCACGGAGCAGGAGCTTCCTGCTCCGGACCCCAATCATTGGGTTACCGGCCTTTGGAGCTGCGATTTCCAACTGTAGCATTCACACCGCGATTCCCTGAGCACCAGGGGGAGAGCCGGGAGCTGTAATATCACCGCTAAGGCGTCAGAAACGCGGTTGAAAGGGGACGTGGAGTGGCAGCCGGATCAACAGACCTCTTGTGCTGTTTGGATCTTTTTCAGGGGGTCCAACGGACACGTTTTTTCTTTTTGAAGAGTTCATCGACTCCTTGCGGAGACAGCAGCAGCGCATCGTTGCAAGGTCGCTGTACACTATACCATACCAGTTCCCCGGTGGCTTTAGGAAGGTCTTGCTGCTTGGTGAGAACGGCACCTATACCTTTAGTCAGGCACACTCAGGAATGGTGCCAGTGCCAAATAGTTACATGGCGAAATGTGCTCCAACGTGCAGTTGGGTAGCCGTTAGCAAATCCAGCTGCTGCCCGGAAATGGTTGTGTGTGTTCTGTGTGTTGGGTTCCTGGTATTCCTTCTGTCGCATATTGTTTGCTTACTGAGTACTGCTATGGGTGTTACAGGCAGCGGGGGCCTAAGCATAGGGCAGGCGGGGGAGTTCGACTACTCGGGATCACAGGCTATAAAAGCCCTCAAGGAGCACAACGTGTTCGTCGTGCTAGTCAACCCAAATATCGCCACAGTCCAGACCTCCAGGCAAATGGCTCACAGGGTCAGCTTCATCGGGGGCTAGGGCTTGCTTGATTTTTCGTAGAGCCGGTAGGACTATGGGGGCTGTCCCTTCCTCTGCTGGGACGGAAGCTGCAACTACACCAACAACCGCAATATTACGCCTTTGTTATAGTTCTCGTTTTGATCTTGGTTTTGGTCCCAATTTTCATTCAGGTGTATTTTGTCCCGGTGACGCCACAGTTCGTAACGGAAGTGATTGACCGGGAACGACCGCAAGGAGTCCTATGCTCTTTCGGAGGACAGGTGGGCGGTGCTCTCGCGGGTGCTACACTTGCTTGCACCATAGCTTTTTCCACTCACCAGGCTAGCATGAATGCTTCCTACATTGCTGCAGACTGCCTTGAACTGTGTCGTCGATTTGTACCGCTCCGGGATTTTGGCGAAGTACGACTGCCAAGTTCTCGGAACTCCAATAGAGGTGAGCGGTAGTGGAGACAAGGAGGAACACCTTAGCAACCACAAACGGCGCAGAGGAAGTACCTGGAGGGGAGACAGTTGTGTTCATCCCGTGCAGACCATTATTGCTACCGAAGACCGGGAGCTATTTGCGCGAAAACTCCAAGAGATAGGGGTGGAGGTGGCGCCATCAGCAGCAGCTAGGGATTTGGAGGAGGCAGTTGCAGCAGCAAAACAGCTTGGATACCCAGTTCTAATACGCGCGGCATTCGCACTTGGTAAATACGCCCCACCCTTATTGTTCCGTGCGGGACAGATGCCGCTGTAAGCACATATCACAGCCCAGGGGCGTAATACTGCGACTTCTTGAGGCGTCAGTGTGTCTGCAGGTGGCCTCGGGTCAGGCTTTGCTGAGGACGAGACTTCTCTGCGCCGCTTGTGCACGGATGCTTTTGCACACTCGAGCCAAGTGTGGATTCGCAATGCACATACTTGTTTTGAAGGATTTAGGGTTCTTCATTGAGTGTTCTGGATGAGGTGCTTCGTGTTTGGAGCATATTTTTGAATGTTGGCATTCAGGTATTCATAGACAGGAGCCTGAAGGGCTGGAAGGAAATCGAGTATGAAGTTGTTAGGGATGCGAAGGACAACTGCGTGACCATCTGCAACATGGAAAATTTAGACCCCCTAGGTGAATTCGACTATTGCTGCTGCTTCACAGCTTACTTTCTTTGCCGATGCTCTCAAAACTAGCGATAGTGGCGAGCAGCATCTAGTAGGACAGGGGTTAGGTTTATACCGTAGTAAAGGGCTACGGCTTTCGGGGGAATGCTTAGGGGGCCTGGGGAGCGGTAGGTATGTTAGTCTGTGGCTATTTCTGGCTAAGCGCGCGGAGCAACACAACCTGGATGAGATGCCAAGATGAGGTGTAAATGTGGATACTGAAAAACATTGTTTGGAGGGGTAGTTTGCGTAGACGTACGACGGCGTTGTACGTAGACGTCTAGGACATTAGGGAGTGTAACAGGCGCGCAAGCGGCGGCATTATTTTTTTTATCGGTTTGCGTGTGCTGCAATCATTACGCAGGAATCCATACAGGCGATTCCATTGTTGTTGCTCCTTCCCAGGTGCCCAGACACGAAGGGCCTGGAACAAATATCTCACGAACAGCTGTTGTTGGGAGCGTTGGTGATTCCGTACCTGGTCGTGCTGTGCTGTTATTTGCACACCATCTATCCCCAAGTTGGAAGTGCTTACGTGGTTAGCCCTGGTTAGCTCTCGTTGTAGCTAGGTGTCCATTGTATTAAATGCGTCCGCTGTGCTTAGACATTGAGCAACGACGACTTCTTTCGCCTGAGGGAGTGCGCCCTAAAGGTTATTCGGCATCTTGGCATTGTTGGCGAGTGCAACATCCAGTACGCTGTGGACCCGAAGTCTGACAAATTCTACATAGTGGAGGTACATGCACAAGCGAATTTTCTGGTCATACGGGTTTATGGTGTGGAACTGAGAATTCTTGTGTAGACCATAGATAAGCTTGCCTGGAGAAGCTCCTGTCTGCCGCAGTGTCTGGTGAAATGATATCTACAAGCGATTGTGACTTTCCAGTTACTGGGAACTGTATTCTTAGGTGAACGCGCGACTGTCTCGCAGCAGCGCGCTAGCCTCCAAGGCTTCCGGGTACCCGCTGGCGTACATTGCCGCGAAGCTTGCACTAGGTAATTGTCAACTTGCAACCATGCTGGCTCTTGACGAGGGCGTTTAGGTCTCGCAGATATCGTGAGAAGCGGCAGAAGTACTAAGTAGCCGTTGCATACGCATTAGATTTCGTTTGAATCTTGGGCATAAGCCTTCTCACGGGTGGTGTATATATTGGTTGACTCACAAGGATATGCGTTATGTACTTTAGTGCTCGTCTATGTATGGAGTTCTCTGTGTCAATAATCGAGGCCACGTTGAGTACACATGCAACGTGTGTGTATTCTTAATTATGTTCATGAGGGCTTACGCCTCTTCTCATGGGGTAGGAGGTTTGGAGCGCAGACTTGCCTGAGCACTTCTGTCCGTACATATGCGGATGAAGGGACGGGTTTTGCAGACGCCGACACATAGACTGCAGAGGCAAGGCTGTCTAGGGAGAGCTTGCCATTTGTTCCATGTTGTGCTTATTCAGGACTTGATTTGCTCCAACTCAAAAATGAAGTGACGAAGGGGACTACTGCTTGTTTCGAGCCCGCTTTTGACTATATCGTAACAAAAGTGCCCAGGTCAGAATGGATAGGCAAGGGAGAGTGTGGAGACGCAAGTAGCTAGGTAGAGAGTGAAAGAGTGCAGCCCGCATATGCAGATACATTGAACCACAAGGGCACAGATACAGGAACACGGATGGGGGAGAAAAGGCATGTGTTGGTTTGCATGCATATGATGAGTGGAAAACCACTTCAGACGTTTGCCAATGAATCAGCAGCAGAATGGATCTTCATTCGTAGTACGTTGGACTTGCGAGTGGAGTGCGCTGCTACTTGCCAGGGCTTAGAGCTCAGAGTTCATTTTTGTCTAAATGCGGTTGTACAGATGGGATATGAAGAAATTTGACGACGCAGATCCCTTCATGGGCTCAGCAATGAAGAGCGTCGGCGAAGTGATGGCGATTGGACGGACATTTGAGGAATCGCTGCAGAAAGCGCTGAGGTGAACTGTAGACACTGCCTCATCATTACGAGGACGAGAAGGCTAGTGCCCAAGTGCCCGCAACAACGAAAACACTAGTGCGGACATACAGCCATGACTAGAACAGCCACATCGAACGGGAAGAAAAGTACTGTATTTGGTTGGCACACGGAAGATAACGCACCGCACTGTATGTGCTGCCCTTGCTATTCTGCAGGATGGTTAGCGGGGACGCTACTGGGTTTGACGAGAAGTTGTGCCCTGATATGTCCCGTCGGGTGAGTTGTGTTATCTTTTGCAGTCGTTGTCCATATACGTGTCACCCGTTTTCAGTTTGTCGGGGTCATGCGCAGTCTGTTATGGCCATGAACCTATTTACCTGGCGGGTCATTTAGGAACTTGTGCGTTTCTTTGGAGTGTGTGGCCGCTTGCAGGAGGGGGCTGAGTTGCTTTCGAGTAGGGGGAGATTGGAACAAGAGCTGGCACGGCCTTCTGCAAATCGGTGCGCTCTTTTTCTTGAACACCATGCACGTACTGCAGACGCGGTTTAACTGTCCCGACCCAGTATCCGCGTGACTTTCTGGTCATCTACACTAACTGGGTACGGACGGGAGATCCGTATGAGGGGAGCTGTTGGCTGGAGGGTCACTTGGGTTCGTCTGCAGAATTTGGGCTTTGGCAGAAGCGCTAGCGCGAGGTTATAGTGTGGAGCGACTGCATGAGCTCACTCACATAGACCCTTGGTTCCTTTCTAAACTGGAGCACATTCAGCAGTTAAAGGAAAGCCTATCGAAAGTCTCTCTAGCACAGCTGACTAGCGCGGACCTCTTCTATGTCAAGAAATACGGTATGTCGAGAACCTCCTGTTAACCTATCAGAATCGCAGGCCTGCAAGTTCTATGCGCCAAGAGCACACGGAAGCTTCATCGGGGGAACGTAATGGTACTGTGGAAGGTAGGGCGGCTTCTGTCTTCAGGGTTTAGCGACCGCCAAATAGCATCCTATGTAGGTGGAGGCCCTGTGGAGGGCCTGCGGGTGACAGAGGAGGATGTGTGGAGATACAGGAAGGCGCTGGTGGTGGAGCCATATATAAAGCAGATCGACACGTTGGCTGCAGAGTTCCCAGCGCAGACAAACTACCTTTACTTGACCTACCACGGTGTTGAGGATGATGTGGAGCCCCTGAATACCACCGATTTGCCGCCAGGTATGCTCAGGCCAGATGGGCGCTCAGCAAAATCATAGGTAGTGATCTTCCCTCCCTGTGTTTGCTACTTCACAGAAGTGCAGATGCTTTGCTTATGTATTTTGCACTTTTCCTGCTGTTACTTTTCCGTATTCATGCGCATCTCTGCGAGCATGAGTGGACGCGCATGCAAATATGTGGGGTGCATGGGTTGTATGCGTTCGTGCACGTACGGGCTGTACATACAGTCTTGTAAGCTTGGTTCACGTAAGCCCAGGCCTGCATGTGTGGGCAGCTGCCTGCGGTATTCGAGGGAAACCCGTTCTGTGCGTCCACCGCTCTGAGTAGCTGGCACCTGATCCGGGGCGTAAAAGGCTGCTCAAGCATACGATGTGTGCACAGTCCTTGGTCCTTGGGGTGGAGGCCACCAAGAAAGCGCACAATTTACGGCGCCTTCAGCACAACGACAGCAGTCACAGCAGCAGTGGCAATACCAGTGGCGGCAGCAGCAGCAGGTGCTCTGGCAGCAGTGGCAGCAGCAGCATGGGCAGCAGCAGCTGGAGAGCCAGCAGCAGTTGCTTCATCCCCAGAGCCAGCAGCAGGAACAGCGGCCTGATGGCCGGGAGGGGGACGCAGGGCGGCAGGATGGGCAGATTGAGGAGAAAAAGGAGGAACAGCCTGTGGAGCAGCTCCGTGAAGCTGAACAGCTTGGTGACCAGCAGCGTGAGGGGCACGACCTAGATCAACAGTTGCACCAAGGTATCCAGCAGCAACTTCAGCAGCAAGTCCGGGAGCAGCTGCAGGAGCTGCGCGAGTTGAGGGGGCACCTGCCCCGAGCTCTTGGGCAGCAAACGCAGCAGCCACTGCAATCTCCGCCTCCTGAGCCTTCTAGGGATACACTGAGGTTAATGCCCGGAGCAGAGCGCGGGCAGGGTTCAGTGCTGGGCAGCCTGTGCAGCTCAAGACAGACGGTGACAACGAAGCAAGTAGAAGGACCTGTCATATGCTGTTACGTCGTGCTAGGTATGTCTTAAAGCGCAGGTTATCCCTTCGCGCAGCGTTTCATGTTCTGTTGGTGAGGTTGTCGTGACTGATTCACTCGCCGTTGCCGCAGTTGGGTGTTCCGGAGCAGTGGCAACTTCGGTGTATTTCGTGGCCTTTGTGTTCCTACTTGATATGGCGCAGGTTGCGGTTGCTACTGCATCGGCAGCAGCGTGGAGTTTGACTGGTCTGCAGTGTCTTGCATCTCAACGCTTCGTTCGTTGGGTCATAAGGCCATCGTGGTGCGTGGGGGGTCCTAGAGACGACGGGACAGAGGCACAGAGATAGGGAACAGGCAGGCAGCAGGCGGGACGCAAAGCAGAACAGCAAGGAGGCATCCATGCTCGCACAGAGGCGAAATGGTTTCTGGGAGGTCCATTAACAGTAGGGGTGCCAGATGTCTTGCGTAGGCAGGGCCAGAGGAGGCGCATCAGTATGTGTGTTGCCACTGGCAGAAGATTTTGTTATGTATTTATAGGTTAACTGTAACCCAGAGACAGTGTCCACAGACTACGACGTCAGCGACCGCCTGTATTTCGAGGATTTGACGCTTGAGACCGTCTCCACCATTTGGTAAGTGTTCTTCGCAAACGTAGACATGAAGGAAGCTTTCCATGAGGTGGGGCGTGAACGCTTCAGCAGTTACTTAGTCACATCCGCAGTTGCAGAAACATCGTGCGCAAGAGGCTGCTCAGGACCATTTTATCCCGTTCCTCAGACGCGTATTACATTTTCTCTTGTGTCTCTTAAGGGATCTGGAGCAGCCGCGGGGGATGATCATTTCTGTTGGAGGTCAAACGGCCAACAACTTGTGCAGCGCACTTCAAAGGAGGGGCGTTGGTATAATAGGTACCTAAGTTGAAGTCAGCATCCAGTCCTGTTTTAAAAGTGGCGGTGCAGCTCACAGAGCCGCAGAGACAGTCAGGCCCTGCGCTTGTGTGTGTCCGTAGCCATGTTGTGTGTTGTGTGTTGATATCTTTGCTTCTAACCAGGAACGAATGTCAGCTCCATCGATTGCTGTGAAGACCGACACAAGTTTAGCAGGCTATGTGACGAGTTACGGCTAGATCAGCCGGGCTGGAGCGAGTTTTCGTCGCTTGAAGCGGCGAGGGAATTCAGCAACAAGGTTTGTGCAGAGTCGCAAGGTGACTGTAGAGCGCGTGGTGCCAGCGAGGGACAGCTTGAGCTGTCCCTCGCTGGCACCACTTTCATGCAGAACAGTAGTTACTGCTGGGCCACGACTGACTTGTCTTGGAGCGTGATTGTGGGATGTTCCTCTATATATATTCTTTCATTGTGATGCTTCTCCCCACTCCATACGCAATCATGGAACATGTAAACCCGCATAGGTCTTTACTGTTGCTGTAACGTTTACCGCGGCGACAATGTGACATTGCTTGCGTGGCATGCTCTTCATTGTTTTAGTTCTAGTACTGGAGCTGTGTATGCATGTATGTGTTAGGTGGGCTTCCCTGTTCTTGTGAGGCCTTCCTATGTCTTGAGTGGTGCGGCGATGCGAGTGGTTACGAACGATCAGCAGTTAAGGGAATTCTTGCAGGTGCGTATACCCCCTGTTCTTTAAGGTCCACGTCCGGTGCTCCCCGAGTTTCTACTGTGTAGCACCTCTGCGGGACCTTACTTTGCGTAGGTCGCAGCTGTTGTTTCTGGCGACAATCCGGTCGTAATATCCAAATTTGTCAGCAACGCAAAAGAGGTATGCAGAAGTGCAGCTTGCTGAGCTTCTAGAGTTTGGCTTGTCTTGAATACCTCGAAGGTCCCGAGTCCTCCCGCAGTGTAGCTTTTTTTTTGGAATCCGCGGTGGCGCTATCTCTGTGGCTTTCCTTTCCTTAGGTAGAATTCGATAGCGTTGCTAACAACGGCGAGATCCTCAATTACGCTATTAGCGAGCACGTCGAAAATGCGGGTCTGTAACACTTCGTACTACTAGGAGATTCAAGTGAACTGGTGTTCACGACCATTTATGTTGTACTATCGTTTTTATGAGAACTCGCGTTGCTTCGCAGGCACACATTCGGGAGATGCCACTTTGATCCTACCGGCGCAAACACTCTATGTGGAGACAATTCGGTGAGCTTTACATTATTCTTTGCTGCTGTAATGAGGGAGGCGCGAGCAGCAGCCGGGTAGTTCGCAGCAGCACTTCTGCCGCTACGTTTCGCAGGCGAGTGAAGAAGATAGCCCAGAAACTTGCGAGGGCCTTGCGTGTGTCAGGTAAGAAGGGCACGCTGCTGTTGCCTTTTTGTTTGGACGACGGGTCTCGGTCTGGTGGCTTCTGCTGCTGGCTGTTGGTTGCATGTCAGGGTTTACGGCTGGTCAAGCTTTATTTGATGACATTGTGTTTGTCGCTTCAAGTGTACGGTTATGTTTGTCGGCGTGGGTGAGGTTCAAAGGTCCATTTAACATCCAGTTCATCTGCAAGAACAACGAAGTGAAAATCATTGAGTGCAACTTGAGGGCGTCTCGCACTTTCCCATTCATCAGCAAGTGCTTTGGCGTGGACTTCATTGAACAAGCCACAAAGTAAGCGCAGGCTTGTATGAACACTTTGAAACGGGGAAGAACGAAGGGCGGAATACAGCGATGGCTGTCTGGTGGCAGGCAACGAGTTCAGCTAGCTTCAGCTGCAGCGTCTGGAGCTGGTGCGGCCGTTGATTCTACAGCAGGAGCTTTGGCATTAGATCATGAGGTGAAGGTAAATTGTGGTTGTTGGGCCGCTTGTGTTTTTGTATTCTAGGGTGATGGTGGGAGCGCCGGTGACAGCAGAATCGATTCATCTGACGGATTTGGAGTTTGTCTGTGTGAAGGTCCCGGTATTCTCCTTCAGCAGACTTAGAGGCTGTGATCCTCTCCTCGGTGTAGAAATGCGCAGCACAGGCGAGGTAGCTAAGCTAAGCAACAGCAACGACCCCGTACATTTGCATGGCCGGCACGTTTCGCTCATGTTAATGTGAGTGGATGGAATTCCACCGGTGCGGAGCGCGTATTCTAGTGTGTGTACGTACTCTCAGGTAGCTTGTTTCGGGGCAGACAAGCACGAGGCCTTTCTGAAAGCAATGGTTTCTGCAGGCCTGCGGCTACCTCTAATGAGGCGTTCTTTAATGCTCGTAACAGGTTCGTGAGTAACGCTTGCGATGGCAAACTGTTAGCCAGTAACTTGTGTTAGGGGGAAATATATGGTTTGCTGAAGTACTATCTGAGCTCATCCGGAGTAGGTGGGACAGAGGTGACCATGTATTGCTTGCGCTGACTTCGCCTTCACAGGTCCTCGTTGGTCCAAGGTAGACTTCTTCCCTTTCGCCCTTAAGCTTGTCAAGCTTGGGTTCACAATCTACGCAACGGAAGGTTTGTTTGGCTGCACTTCAGCAGGACGGAGGGGCTCACGAAACAAGTGGCTTCTGGGCAATTTACCTGCATCTTGTAACGTAGCAAGTGCTGCGAGTAGTGTTGCTGGCGTTGTTGATCCTATTGTTGCGTTGTGTTTCATTATCGTTCCATGATCTTTTGGCATGGCAGCAGATTTTTGTATTGCGGTTTTCGAAATGATCTATTGTGTTCAACTATCTGTTGCTGGCTGCTGATCCTTCGACTTGGTCTTCTGGTTGCGTGTATTTTTGCGGCACACTGGTGGGGGTCTTACAGTGTGACTTTTGGCAATCATAGGAACGTACAACTTTTTGCGAAAGAGCTTAAGAGGATGCTTGGAAGCGGTTTCTGAAGAGACTGGGAGTGCGCAGAGGAATACGGAGCCATGGAGCAGTTTGGCAGCTCCGGTAGAGAGTGGCGAGGAATTGGAGACACCGCCTGGAGAGATGGTCCTCAGTGAGATAGAAAAACAGATTATTTCAGTCTCCAAAGACGGGAACAGTGCCGAGGCAGGAGGCCAAGATCTGCTCACTGCGACTGATGTCATCAAGAGGGGTGAGCAGAGTCATCACGATGAGAGGTCTCGTGGCATTTCGAGATATTGGCACCAAACTAGCGTGGCGGGGAGATTAGGGGGAATTTCTGAACAGGCACGGGAACTTCCAGCTGGAAAGAGCAGAGGCAGTGGTAGGGTGTGGCGGGGAGGCAGCAGGCAGAACAGGGCAGATGTTGTGTGCGGTAGGGGGTAAACACAGAGTAATGGCAAAGGGACAGGCAGAGCAAAAGCGCACAGAGCAAAGTGGAACAGGAGCCTAGGGCGTAGAAAAGCAGATGGAAGTGGACGGAGAGAGCCAAGGGGGGGAAAGAATTCGTCTGTAGTTCTGAGAGTCAGTGGAGCACGCGCAGGATCAATGAGCAGCAGAAATAGAGGATGGGGCCGTGTGGTTGCATGCTGCTTCCAGCGCCTGTGTTCTGCAGTGCTAACAATGGGTTTAGAATACATCCAGGCCTTGTATGTTTCTGTCTGCTTGAAGGTCTTGTAGAGTTAGTTATCAACGTTCCAGGCCGCGCGCACCACCGATCCGTGTCTGCGGGTTATATTATTAGAAGAACGGCCGTCGATGCTGGTGGTATGTGGTAGGAATTGTTTCCTACATCCGTACATGCAGATTGTAGTGTTTTTTTTTCTCGCTTGTGTTTCAACCAGTGGCAGTGCATTTACTTATCACAATTTACTATTGGGTGCTCATGTGTTGTTACTGGTCGAACACAAAGTGCTGATTGAAGATTGGTGATAGAGTGTGGCGCGTATGTCTCTTTCTGAAGATGCGTTTGTTCGTGTGAAGGGATTTCTCAAGGGAGCACGAACATATGTACGACAGTTGTTTATATGCGTTGTTCGTGCTTTCCTGTATGACAATTGAATTTTCGAGTTTTGCGTGCTTTTGTGTATGGATGCAGTTTCTGCTGTGTGTGTGTATTCTCCTGCATGCGCAGTGCCTCTGCTAACGGACTTGAAGTTGGCTTCCTTTTTTGTGGAGAGCCTGTCCAAGAAGATCTCGCGGGAAAGGGGAAGGAAGCGCTTTTGGGAGGTCCGCTCTTGGGACGAGTATCAGCCGTGATTTCTTAGTGGAGCCTGTTCTTGGTTGCTCCATATTTGACGCAATTCGACCAATTTTCGGCTTCGGGTGCAGAGAAGTGCACCTAGCGATGCCTACGTACATTTTTTTGCAGGAATGTGCAGTATTTATATGCTCACGAATATAGCTTCATGTATCTATACGTACATGGCCGGTGTACACAGAAGTACTACCCACATGTTTATTTCTTGCATTTTCGGCACAATCTGCATTTCGAATACATGACAGTGTCTTAATGGTAGTAAACTGCAGATATTTTTCCTGGTCGTGTGGGTGATGCAGTTCATTTTCGTTGCATACACGTAGGGGAAATGGAATATTTTTTTCATTTTCACATCCGTTTACATCTGAAACAATATAGCTCGTGTCGACAGAGGTCTGGTTGGTTTATATTTTCTTATATCTTGCTTTTTCCTGTTTATGTAGAGTTAAACAGAAGCATAATTGCATAGAGCTGCAAACAATTGGGGTGCATGGCTATAATCAAACATCAGAGTATCTTGGAAATGCCTCGCCTGTGAAGACGTGCTTTTCATATTGTGCAAGTACTTGTATCTTTGTTGGAATATAATGCAAGTATAGTGTATATATTATAAGTGGTATTGTTTACGGAGTAAAGAATGCGCACACAGTTGCCTCCATTGCTCCAAATTGCGAAAGCAAATGAATACAAGCAAGATTTACAGGCAAGCCCGCTTCTGCAAACCTTCCTACTTCTCTGTACACGTACAGTGCACAGGTGCCCGTCTTTTTTTTCCTGCCTGTTCGTTTTGTGGGATTTTTTGTGCGGTTGCGAGCGGCCCCTTACTTGGCTTCAAGAAAACATCATTGACTGTTTGGGGAATTAAGTCATGCCCATTTCTTTCGCGCGCTGCCATTTGTCAAGCGTGTTAAGGACTGCAGAAACGTCGTAGAGTAGAGCAGTTACGCAGTTCCCCAGTTGGCGCCGTTTGGGCAACTGCATCGTTGTTTTAAGGCGCACTGTAGAAGGTGAGACGCTTTTGTATAGGTTTTCCACACGTCTCGGTGGAATTCAAGCGCGAGCGTCTGTGGTCTGAGGGGCAGGCAAAGGGTTAAGCTAAGAACGAAAGGCATGCTATTGACCGGTAGGGAACATTGTAGTGCCGAGGAAACAGAAAACAGTGAGTCAGCGCCTGCAGGCGCACCGTTGGCTTGTTGCTGACATTCTAGTGTTCGAGGAAAACGAAGGCGTCCCTGCTATGTTTAAGTATAGGCATCCTTGGGACTGAGGTGGGACGACCAGTGGTGGTTTTACAGAACGGGTGGCGGTGAGCGTAGTTGCGCGTTAGGCGCTTAGTACCCGTATGAGTGTGTATCGATGTGGGTGTTGTACTGGTGCTTTTTGCGGAAGAAATGATGTAGGGGAGCAAGAAAGGGCATGACAGGACACGTTGTGTAGGTTGTGCCTCCGCGTCTCCATTCTCAGATTGGGAGGAGGGGAGGTGGGACAGCCTAGCAAGGTGTTTGCGTGCTGGTTGGAGGTTGTTTGCTTCTTGTTTTGTCTGCGTCGGCCGCTTGGAATTTAGGGGAACAAGTACACCATAAGCACGTGAGCACAGACAAATGGCATTAATGTTTTGTACAGAGGCAGCCTAGTTAAAAGCTCGACGTGTAACTATCTGCATACACACTCCAGAGGTAAACAACCCCTTGTTTGTCCCCCGTGGCTAGTCCACCAGAGTGACTGCACCAGGCAGCAGCGGAAACACCAGAGTGGTGGGCCCCAAGGCTCCCCAGCGGCTTTAAGTGCTTGCCTTCGAGCAACAACACAGCTCCGTCAGTAGTGCCACAGGCGCCAAGGAGGCCGTCTCCACGCACGGAGACACAAGTAAGGTGTGTGCTGCTAGGTCCCATTGACTCTAGGTAGTTTACGTTGTTAAACAGATCAAAGTGGCTGTAGGAAGGGACGCGGTTTCTCTGAACAGACTCGATTGCATTCACATGGGCTACACCGGTTAGGCAAGGAAGGATACCAAAACAATCTTCGTCATCCCTTCTGCTGCCGCAAGCCATGGTTGTTGCGTCATCCCTCCTCTCGCTGGACATGGATAGAAACGCAGCTGTTATTTCATCTGTTGGTGCTGCTGTTGCCAATGATTGACTGTCTGTTCCTTTCTGGCTTGCCACGCGATGTATGAAGATATCTCCTTCAATGCATCCAGTCCATACTCTGTTTCGAACTGTCGCAACATAAGCGGGGGGAGAAGATGTGGTCGCCAAAGGCAGAAGTGCAAGCGGTTGCCCATTGTTTCTAACGTCCCACAGGGCCAGAAGTGGCAGTTCGTACGCAGCTAGGAGCAGGCATTCGGATGCTGCGAAGCCCAGGCCTTGAACGGACCCACAGTTACCTGGCTCCTGCAGCTTCTGCTCCTGTGATGCAAAACGAGAGGCAGAATTCGGCGGTAGCTTAAGCTTAAGCGCAGGCGACACTACGCTCATATGGTTCTTTTCTCTATGCCACGAGGTCGAGGCCCTAGCATCAAACAAACCGATTGTGTCAATTTCAGCTACTGGGGCCGCTACACACTCTTCACCCACACAGTTGATGCCACTGCTGCTCCTCGCATCGCTGCTTTTGCTGCTCTTGGGCTGTGGGGATGCGCATTCGCAAAATGAGAAGGAGCCAGTCTTGAAGGACAAAGTGAACCTCTGGGACTCCAAATCAAACACAGAGATTCGCGAGTCTTTCTGTTGTATTAGCACCCTGCTGCAGCAGCTGCTGCGAGTGCAATAAAGCGGCTCTATGTGCAGCACAGGGCTGTTGCTGGTGCTGCTGAAATTTGCAGCCGCCATGGGCGGAGCAACAGCATCAGCCTTCAAGCAGGTGAGGCTCGAAGGCGATACGGCAAACGCGCTCCGTCTGGACTTCAAATCAAAGAGGCAACAAAGGCCTCCATCGTCTCCCAAAAGAAGAGAGTCCCCTTCTCCTACAAACTGCATGCTGCGCGCGGCATTGCCAAGAGGGTTGGTCAGGCGCATGTACGGGGTGGGGTCCGCCATCTCTGCGTATTGGCCGTTCTCCGTCGTTTCTTTTTGGCCTTATTGTAGTTTTGTTATTGTAGTTTTGTCTATTGTAGATGCTTACTTCTGCTTCTTGTCTTTTCGTCTGTGCGTGTTTGTCCTCTTACTCCTTTCCTTGTTTTTCAGTCTTTTATGTCCCTGTCTACATTGCCATTCTTATTTTTGCTCTCCCGTTCCTGCTTTCAGCAGCTTATTTAGTGTTGACTCTTTGTCTGTGCATGCCTTTGACGGGCTGATGGAGGGGCAACTCGAAAAACAGGAGACCACAGGGAAACAAGGGCAGTTTTATTCCTCATTTTTCTCTTTTGTTTCTGTCGTTGTTTCTGCCGTCGTATCCGTTCCTGTAGGCCTCACCATGCCTTCCTAGACCCATTCCAGGTTGCGTGTTCTGTATTTTGCCCTGGTCTATCAATATTCGTCTCTGTTGACCTGTGTGGCCTCCGAGTACATCTTATATGGCACTTCCACTGTTTCTTCCGTCTCCATTCCTTCCTCGATTTCTTCATTCATAATTTCAACGAAGCGATGGACATTCGGGGAAGGCAGAGGTAGCAGCGGCCGCTCGTGCTGCTGCCTCTCCTTCGATGCCCTTTCTTCTTCCTCTGCTACTGCTGCTATCACTTCTCTTGCTTCGGTGTAAAAAGGCCTTCTCCACGCTTCTACCGTCTTCTGCGGCAGCACTTTGAGGTCGAATACTGCTACACAGTGATTAGCCCCAGCCAGAACACTAGCCAGCTCTAGTTGGTGGTTCTGCTGCAGGTTTTGATTGACACAAGCCACAACCCGCCGGGACGCCCGCAGAGCACCGAGAAGCGTTCCTGCCCCACAGTGAGACACGACGAGGTCGAAGGAAGGCAAGAGAAGTGAAAGACCGTGGATGTAGCGCACCACCCGCACGCACTGCAGACCCTGCCGGTGTGCCCACACCCCAACACCAGTCAAATCCGGATCTTCTGCAGATATCCCGAAAGGCATATACTGCCCCCGACCTAATTGCACTGTCAAAGAGACTTTTCCTAGACTCTTAAGCACATCTAAGAATGCATCAGAATCCACAGCCTTCACCAGGTCATCGAACGAAGTGGTTCCAACCGTGACCAGAACATGAAGGCCCCCCTTCACACGGAGGTTCTCTGATGCTTTGCTTGCTTCCCCGCAGACTGCAGCAGCTGCTGCTGTAGTGGAGGCCCCAGGAGATCCGTTTGTTGTTTCTCCAGCGGGTGAACCAGCGCTTGGGCCCAGCATGCAGTATACTCATACGCACTCACCCAAATGTCACTCAATGCCATGTAAGGGGGAAAAGGAAATGTCCACGGGCTAATTCCTACAACAAAGGAGACAGAAACAACAGCAGCAGACTGTGATCCTGGCCTAGGATTCGTGCGGTGTACGCAGAAGAGACAGAAGGCTGCCCCAAAAATTAGTGATCAGTATTGTTTTGCTGCCCGAAAAATACCGATTGGGCGCAAACAACGGCGACTAGGCACGTGTAGCCAATAACGATGGGAGATTGCGATGGAATATGTGTAGGGTTTCAACAGCCTGAGAGCTTCTGCAGTAGGCAGTGCGTAACCACATCATGTATTATTACGAAGAATGGAAAATTTTTAAATAGGATCTATTCTTACACTGCTTAACATTACGAAACGCAGAATCGGCTACTCTCCTTCAAGAACATAAACCTGGGGCTGGGCTGGGGGTGCAGCGCCGTTAAGTACTGCAGTTAACTACTGTGGCAAACAATGACAGACAGTGAAGCCTACCAAGAAGTATAAGGGAAGAGGCTCATAAGGAAGGAATTTATCTTTGACCCAACGCATTAGCTCAGCTGGTTCTGCTGCACGCGTGACAACGCTCGCCTCTGAACTGCAATGTTGCTCCTGCTGTGTGGAGTCACGCTACTCATGTGCATTTAAGGCGACTTAGCAGTTCAGAATAGCAGCAGGCTGCCATGCTAGGCTCTCTGCAGACCAGCGTGGAGCCTGAGCCATAAAAGCTGAAGGGAACTCGCAGTGCCACTTCGCGGAGCGTTTTTTGGCGCTCTATGGCTCATCTATGATCTCCAGTGTAACCTCATGCTACCATCAGCGCGATTCGAGCAACAAATGGTGCTGGTATTTATGTACTCCAGGTGCGCTGGGTCATTTAGTGAATCGATGAGCATCCGTAGTGCCTTCTTCTCTTCCACATCCAGAAGAAACCAAGAACAGAAACACGCGGAATGCTTACCGTATTGCACAGAGCTCTCCCAGTGATTTTGGAGGGTTACAGTGCTCCAAGGACTGTAGCAGGCATATGCAGCCAGTAGCTCAGTTTTCTACTATTCGCACTGCTCTAGTTTCTCTCTTATTCTTCCGCTAGCATATTTTCTGCGTACTGATGACGATAAGGCCTACTTCTGGATCAGCGGATTTCCGCTTATTATCGAACTCCGGTAACCCTTTGCCGGGACCAGCAGGAAGAGCCTCTGTTTCCTGTAAGGACTTGTATTCGCGGAGCCGGGGCCGAAGCGTGCGGAGACCGCCGCTGTCAAGAACTAGCTGCGGGTGGTATGAATACGGTTTATATGATGTGGCTTTGGCCTTGACAGAGGTACCTTTGAGCCCTTACGAGCTTGAGTACAGGGAGCGCACTATACTGACACCAGAAGAACCTGCGCCGGTGGAGCTGCACAGCAGCAGGCAGCCAGCTTTGGTCTTTAAACTCAAGCAGAATCCTAGACCATGCGCACCTCCCCATCCTTCCACTGTACGTGTAAGATACGAGCCCCATGCTGCTCCGCTTTACGGCCACGAAGAAGCGGACCAGCAACGGGCAGAGGAGAAAGACAAGCAAGCGGCCGCGCAGGAGAAGAGAGAAAACGATGCTTTGCTTAGTGGCGCACAGAGAGCGGATGAAAAATCAGAACGGGGAGACAAACACGCAAAGTTAGAAAGAGAAAACAAACATGAGAAGGCAGACCGTGGGGACAAGGCAGAGAAATCTGAAAAACATAAGGACAAAAAGGACAAAGAGAAGAAAAAATCGCATCATGATGCAGCCCACAATGCACAGACAAAAGAAGACAGCTAGTGGATACCTTTAAGGGCGTTTCTCCCCTGTTCCTAAATATGTACATGCATGTACTACGATCACGTGCGCTCACATATTGTTATACATGCATAGAAACCCTGCGGTTTATGCTGCTAGTGCAGCAATGCATACATAGTGGCTTCGCTGCTACTGTTTCAGTCGCACGTTTACCGCTCTCAGTAAAGCCCAAACTCGCATAACCGATGTTGAGCAACCGATATTCATGAAGTGTTCTGGCTAGGCAGGGTCATTAAACCTATGGAGTGCTCACAGTGAAAGTTCTCTGCAACCAGGCAGAGTTTGGTTCTTCATGAGGGGCTGTGGCATACTATCAGCATGCAAGATAGAGAATGGCGTTGGCAAAGGTTAAGGCGCATACGCAAGAAGGGTTCATACCTTGAAACATACAGAAGCCGAAGCAACCAGGCTTTGAAATGCATATGAAAGGGCATGGAACTTTGTTCATCTCTGTATTTAATACTAGTTCTTTTTTTGCCTGAGGCATACATGCCGAGGAAGCAAGCCAAAGAAGCATGCATAGGGGTATGAAAGGATACATGAAGACAGAGAGCGCAGATAAGGGTGCACCTGTAATCATAAGGCAAAGCACAGCTGGATATAGATATAAGCACAAACATAGAATCAGGAATGTAACAAAGCTCAGAATCCACAAAAACTGCATAAATTCGGCAAAAAGGAGACAGATAAAAAGGTAGTGACCACGGAGTCTACGATTGAGCTTGAGCCAAAGCGGAAGCATTCAAACAGTACACATTGAAGGACCGTCCAAAAAAGGCAAACAGAACAGCGCGCACATCCGCAGACAGTTGGTGAACTTAGCCGCTTAGTAGCCTTCTGCAGTTCCATCAGTCTTCTATGCGTATTCTACTCGTGTTCCTTTATTCAGCACCCACCCAGAGAGCAATGCGGGTTTTCTACCAATGTTTTGTTTAGGCCATGACGAATGCGGGCTTTAGGCGAACTCTTGCATTCATACGTTTGCGTTTGCATTCATACGCTTGCATACTCATTCATACAGTTACGTGTGCATACGCTTGTAAATATTTGGATCGAGCACTATACTTCCGTGTGCGGGCGACGTTCATCTGTTTTGCCTCGATTGGCGCTTCGCCTTACTTCTACGGCTTTGCTTTTACTTTCAAGATATTCATTGCTTTACTGCAGTTGTGCTTGCTTCAGACATGGGGGGCTTTCTCCTCGTTGCAGAGCCAGCTTGCGTCCCCTGGTAAAACTTTAGCTTCTAGGGCCAAGAGGTGAATTTTAGCCGACATATTGAGCTACCTAATGGGGAAACAAGATGGCTAAAAAAATTGAATGTGCATTCTGACCAATTTCCACAGTATGATGAGCTATCTGAACAATGAACAGCTGGAGCACAAGCAAGGACACAAGTTGCAACAATGTTTATCATTCATGTTCACCTGGGCGTCGTGTTAGCTTTCTTATAGGCTAACAGTCATAATTGGAGCTCGCAAATAGAAGCAATATTCGGTTTGTCCCCTTAAACACTTGACAAACTATTGAGAGGCTTTTCATCCAGCGTCTCCCCACGGTCTGCCCTGCCTCTGGTCCTCAGCCTTCAGAGTGGGCCTTCGATTCTTCTTCGTCCAAACTGCAAATGCATTGCTAAGACAACAAGGAAATAACGGAAACAATTTAAACTAAATATATTTAGCAAGTCTTGAGCATGCACCACATCGCAGCGTGAAGTTTGGTGTCGGATTTGGTTGGGCATGGGTGACAGCTGTGCCTGTCGTCTTCGGCCCTTCCCATGCCTTCGCCTTTTCATTGACTACGTTTGTCCAACATGACTTGTTAAAGGCTCTTCACACACTCCAATTAACGCCCGTTGGCTAGTTTACGGGAACCGCCCCCGGCAGACTGGGGGGCCCCCCTCAGGTCCCCAGATGCTACCAGGTGGGTTAACGCATTGCGGGACTCTCACGTAGCGGTTGACGGGAATAAACATCAGTATATTGTCGCTGTAGCTGTATTAACTGGATTGCAATTGTGTAAAGAGCGGTCTGTTGGCCCGTCCTCAGCTGACAGGGCAGAGGTTGCGCAGCAATACCGACAACTATACCCGCAACTGCAGGGGACTCAGCAGCAACAGACTCAGGAGAATCCTCAGGTGCGCCCAGAAGAATTGCGAGGGCAGCAGTTGCTTCAACAGAATGTTCAGAAACTACCTCAAATGTCAGAGCAACAACGGCTGAGGACAGTTCGCACTGATGAACCACGTGGGCCGCCCGAAAACCTGTTAAGCACCTTCGACGCCTTTGCATTCGATGCGCCGAAAAGTCCACAGAGAACTCCCGAGAAAAATGTGGTGGCGGGGAAGAGGGGAGGTGTGGTGGCTCGCAGCACGCGCGGCAACACCACTCCCGTCCTCAAGGGGAGTTCCTCCAGTCGCAAGAGCAACAACAATAATAATGGCTGCTCCTGTGACTGCAGTGGTACCAAAACCAGCATGGTAAGCGGAGTGAGCAGCAGCAGCTGCTACAGCTGCACGCGCACGTATGAACTGCAGGCTGAATCTGAACTGAGTCCTGGAGTACGGCTTTCCCTGGAGTGGCTGGCTGAGGCAGAGAGACGACGAAGCCTCAGCAGCTCTGAGGTTGCTGCTTCTTTTCGCTGTCCTCTTTGTCACCAGTTTGGGATGGAGTTCCGCTCGGGCCGTTACGGTGAGCCTCAGAAACAGGGCAGCGCAGAAGGCGTCGTGTGGAAGGACACTCAGCAAGAGCAGTCGTAACAGCAGTTGCAACAACGACAGTAGCAATGAGTTGTATGGACTGTGTCAAGCCAACTCACTAACCACAAACGACACAATGTCTGATTCGCACTATTGCGCGTATGACTCACGGCGGCGTCTTTTGTTCTCTGCATTGATATCACTGCTGTTTCTTCACATTCCAAACGCTCGTGAAGCTCTTTGCTGTTACTCAGACTGCATTTGTTTGCTGTAGGCATGTTTTTGGGGTGCTCTCGGTACCCTACCTGTCGTGGAAAAGTGAGCGGCTCGAAGGTGGAGAAATGGCGTTGCTGCACCGGTAACAGCAACAGCAGCAATGGAGTGCGCATATTCTGCGAGTTTGAGACCCCACACGCCTTTCGTCTGCATGCAGCCGGCTGTACAGAGACCGGGGAGATGC